TGGCGCGAGGAGGAGATCCTCGCGACGGAGCTGCTCGCCAACGCGCTGCACAAGCCGTTCTACATCCTGAGCAAGGGCCGCCACGACATCACGCACCGCACCGGCTACCGCCTCGTGTGCCGCGACGAGCTGAAGAAGGTCTACCCCAGCTTCCCGATGAGCCACGTGGTGGACATGCCGGAAGTGCTCGCGGAGATCGAGTCGTTCCGCGCGGCGCTGGCGGAGCACTTCGTGACCTTCGACCCGGCGGACGTGGACGAGAAGCTGCTGCTCGATCTGGCGATCGAGGCGGCGCGGGAGGCGAAGGACTTCCTGACCTTCGAGCCCCACGCCTACGGCGGCTCGCGCAACGCGCCGAACCTGACCGTGAAGGTGCGCGAGGTGCTCGACATCGCGGGCGATATCGACGGCCAGATCTACATGCGCGACTTCAAGCTGATCGACCAGTCGCACATGATCGTGAGCTACGTCCCCGAGCTCCCGGGCGGGATCCCGGGCCTCTCCTCCGGCGTCGAGCGCGAGCTGCAGCACGCGTTCGAGCACACCAAAGAGGTGTACATCGTCTGGAAGCCGAAAAAGAACCCCTCGCCCTTCATCACGGAGACGGCGACGAAGATCTTCGGCTCGGTGGACGAGGCGATCCGGCACTTCGAGGAGAGCGGGATGTTCGGGGAGAAGAACCTGTTCGGGCAGTGAGCTGGTACGTCTCCATCGCGATCGTTCTCGTGCTCTGGATCCTCTGGCGGTCGTACCACGTCCTGCGCCAGATGTGGCATTTCTACCGCGATTCTCCGACGCACCTCGACGCGGCATCGATCTCAATCAAGCCGTACGAACCCGAGCGGATGCCGGATGGATTCCGTGAATGCCTCGATCGCCGTGCGCCTGATTTCGAAGAGATCGGGTATTCCACGATCGGAGTGATGATCTACGGAAGCGGCCTGCACTACACGGCCTGCAAGCGATTCTTCGCGAAGCCGGGTGCGATCGGGATCGGCTTGATCGAGGTCACACGCATCCGCGTGACCGACCTGCAGGAGCGATACATCGTGGGATACGGGTTTTCGACCTCGCTCGTCGATGAGCGATATATCCGAACAACCACAGCCGCGCCGATGCTGCACTCCGAACGAGAGACCGTCCTCTGTTTGCCCCGCTGCCGTGACATCGCGTCCCTCGAAACCGTTCACGACGCGCAGCTTGCGGATTGTGATGTGCGCGCGAAACCACCGTCCGAATCAATCGACGAATTTCGAGATCGCACCCTGAACGGTTTCCGGTCCGACATCGAGAACCTTCGTGGTTTGGGCCAGATCGTACGCATGCCGGACGGAAGACATCGGTACCGGCTCGGTCCCCTTCTGGTCGCGTACGCACCGTATCTGATCCCGGGTCTGACTCAGCTCCACGGGTTTTATTCACGACGAACTGCGAAGAACCGACTCAAAGCACTCGGCCTCGGCGATCTCTGGAAGACCGATGCCGCGGCGTCGGCGTAACAACCGCGAACGTCAACGAGCGGGGTACACGGCGGCGCAGATCATCTCACCAAGGAACGACGCTGCGCGTCGGCTAGGTGGGGCCCCCTCACCCGGCTGGCGGCGGAACGCACGCCAGCCACCCTCTCCCGCGAGGGGAGAGGGTGCAGAAGCTGCAGCGCCGAACGCGACGCGGTTGTCACAGCCCCTTCTCCCCTCGCGGGAGAAGGTGGCCGACGCAGTCGGTCGGATGAGGGGCTACATCCTGCCGACGCGCAGCGTCGTTCCTTTGCAGTGTCATCGTGCATCACCGTGTACCCCGCTCACTGCCGTTCGCGGTTGTTACCGCTCTGTACCCCGCTCGCTGACGCTCGGGGTTGCTACGAAAAAACGCCCCGCGCATCTGCACGGGGCGTTTCACTGTTCGGTCGCGTGCGGCGAGTGTCCGTCGTTACGCGCGCTTGCGGCGGGTGGCCGCGAGGCCGGCGAGGCCCGCGAGGGCCATCGCGCCGGGGGTCGGGACGAGGGTGAAGTTGTCGATCGCGCCGGAGCCGACGAAGTCGTAGTGCACCTGCACGACGCTGAGCGCGTCGAAGCCGGCGTCCTCAACGGCGGTGGCGTCGCCGCCCGAGCCCTCGCCCGCCTGCGGCGCGAGGGTGGTCAGGTCGAGCGTGCCCCAGCCCTGCGGGGCGTTGGACACGTCGTTCGTCCACATCGCGGGGACGGAGTAGACGCGGGTGAGACCGGCGAGGTCGGTCATCGTGATGGTCAGGCCGTTGCCGCCGTTCATGTCGACGAGGTCGACCGAGAGCACCTGCGTGGGCTGCGTGATGTCGAAGGTGATCTCGCCGCCGTTGGCGGAGTCGTTCGGGGTGTCGAAGATGCCCGGGACGGTCTGCGTCGGGCTCTGGTTGGACTGGACGATGAGGACGTTGCCCAGGCCGACGAGCAGGTCGGGGTCGCCGCCGCCCATGTTGGGGCCCATCGGGTCCGAATCGAAGATCGCCGCGCCCTGGTTGTTGCCGGACGAGCTGATCGAGATCAGGTTGCCGAATTCATCGGGGGACGAGATGTCCTGCCCGTTGACCAGCGGCATGCCGCCGTCGTCGGTCGTGAAATCGATGGTGACAAAGCCGGCCTGCGACGACGCGGCCACAACGAGCGCGGACAGCGCGCTGATCGAGCGAAGCATGATCGGGGATCCTCCCTAGATGTGCCGGGCACCTTTCAGCGAACCGGCGTGACGTGTTCTCCGACGTCTATGGTGACGCCCGTCCCAAAATTGTCAACGGTTATTCCGTTGAATATCCCCGTTTCCATCGGCTTTTTGCGCGACCCAAGCGTTCTGCGATCCGGATCTTCACCGTCAGCGGGCGGATGTGAAGATGGGAGGCTAGTCTCTGGCGATGCCCCGCTACCGGCTCACGATTGCCTACGAAGGAACAGATTTTCACGGCTGGCAGAAGCAGTACGTGAGCGCCGAGACCGCCCCCCCCGGAAGTGTTGTGGAATCGGACACGGGCCGCCCCGGCTTCGTGCAGCTCCGCACGGTGCAGTGGGCGGTCGAGGAGGCGGTGTTCCAGGTCTTCCGCGAGCGGGTGACCATCCAGGGCGCGAGCCGGACGGACGCGGGCGTGCACGCGATGGCGCAGACGGCGGCGTTCACGGTGACCGGCGAGACGGGGCCGCCGATCGAGCGGATCGCGATGGCGCTGAACTCGCGGCTGCCGGAGGACGTGCTGATCAAGGCGTGCGTGCCGACGTCGGATGAGTTTGATCCGATCGGGATGTGCGAGTCGAAGGGGTACCGGTACTCGATCGTGACGGGGCCGCTCCGCCCGCTCTGGAATCGGCGGACGGCTCATTACGTCTACGAAGCGCTCGACGTCGAGCGGATGCGCGAGGCGGGGAAGGCGATCGAGGGCGAGCACGACTTCGCGGCCTTTGCGCAGGCGAAGCACGGGCGGGAATCGACGGTGCGGACGGTCTTTGGTTGCGAAGTGGCGGACCAGGGTGACAACGCCGTCGCGTTCGACGTGTCGGGCAACGGGTTCCTCTACAACATGGTGCGCATCATCGCGGGGACACTCGTGGAGGTGGGCAAGGGGCGGATGGAGGTCGAGCGTGTGCGCGAGGCGATCGAGTCGGGCGACCGCCGTCTCGCGGGGCCGACGCTCCCCCCGCAAGGGTTGTGCCTCATGTGGATGCGATACCCCCTGATTCGCCCGGGCGATACGCCGTGAGGATCCTCCACGTCTCCACACGCCTGATCGTCGGCGGGTCGCAGGAGAACACGATCCTCTCCTGCGAGGAGCAGATCCGGCGCGGGCACGAGGTGCACCTGGCGTACGGGCCGATCTACGGGCCGGAGGGGTCGATGCTGGGTCGCGTCGAGGCGTTCGCGCACGAGGGGCGATCGATCGTCACGCACGAGATCCCGGACATGGTGCGCGAGGTGAACCCCGTGCGCGACTGGCGGGGGACGGGGCAGCTCCGCGGGCTCATCCGCGAGATCAAACCGGACGTCGTGCACACGCACTCGTCCAAAGCGGGGGTGATCGGGCGCGTGGCCGCGTGGCGCGAGGGGGGGAAGCGCGGCGAGATCGGCGTGGTGCACACGGTGCACGGGCCGAGCTTCCACGCGGGGCTGCCGTGGTGGAAGAACACGATGTACGTCGCGAGCGAGCGCTACGCGTCGCGTCACGGGCATGCGATGGTGAGCGTGGCGGACGCGATGACATCGCAGTACGTGGGCGCGGGGATCGGAAAAGCGGCCGACTACACAACGGTGCGCTCGGGTATGGAGGTCGAGCGGTTTCTTGATGTTCGTGCGCAGAGAGACGAGGTTCGGGCACGGCTTGGGATTCCGGCGGGCGCATTCGTGCTCGGGACGGTCGCGCGGCTCGCGGAGCACAAGGGGCACGATCACATCCTCGATGCGCTGGGCGACGAGCTGCGGGCGCGTCCGGACGTCGTGCTCCTCTGGGTGGGCGACGGGTGGTGGCGGGACCGGCTGCTCGAAAAGGCGAAGCGTCTGGGGTTGCGGGAGCGGATCGTGCTCACCGGGCTCGTGCCGCCGGAGGACGTGGGCGAGCACATCGGCGCGATGGACTGCCTTGTGCACCCCTCCGAGCGGGAGGGGCTGCCGCGGACCGTGGTGCAGGCGTTGCTCGCGGGTGTTCCCGTGGTCGCGCACGACGCGGACGGGACGGGGGAGGCGTGCGTCGAGATGGTCACGGGGCGGCTCGTGCCGATCGGGGACCACGCGAAGCTCCGCGAGGCGGTGGCGTGGACGATCGACCACCACGAGGACGCGCTGCTGCTCGCTCAGGAGGGCAAAACGCGGTGCGTGCGCGGGTGGAGCGTGTCCGCGATGGTGGACGGGCTGGACGCGGTGTACAAACGGGCGTGTAACGCGACGTGACGCGGCGCATCGGACGGGCAACGGAAGGAGCGATGTGATGGCGAAGGTACTGGTGGTCGGGCCGCACCCGGATGATCAGGAACTCGGGATGGGCGGGACGATCGCGAAGCTCGCGAGCCGGGGGCACGACGTGCTCCTGCTCGATATCACCAACGGCGAGCCCACGCCCTACGGCGACCCGGAGACCCGCGCCAAGGAAGCCGACACGGCCGCGAGGATCCTGGGGGTGGAGCGGAGGCTCCTCGGGCTGCCGAACCGGGAGGTCGAGCACACGCTCGAGGCGCGTCACAAGGTGGCGGGCGTGATCCGCGAGTTCCAGGCCGAGATCGTCTTCACGCCCTTCTTCGAGGATGCGCACCCGGACCACCGGGCGGTGACGCGGATCGTCGAGGACGCGCGGTTCGACGCGAAGCTGACCAAGACGGACCTCCCTGGCGAGCCGATCTACCCGCGCTGGCTCTTCTACTACTACGCGACGCACCTGCGCTGGGTGGCGAACCCGAACTTCCTGATCGACGTGACGGGGTTCGAGGAGACGAAACGCAAGAGCATCGTGGCGTACGAGACGCAGTTCGTGATGCCGGAGAAGAACCGGCGGGTCGTCGAGTGGGTGGACTCGGCGCTGGACTACTTCGGCTCGCGCATCGGCGTGAAGAGCGCCGAGCCCTTCTTCACGAAGGAGCCGATCGGGCTGGACGGGCTCACGGGTCTGGTGATGTAGGGGCGTCTGTCACTCCGGGGGGCAGGTCGATCCCGACGAGCACCGGGACGTGGTCCGAGTTCGTCTCGGTCTCGATCGTGGCCCAGCTCGTGATCCGCACGTCGGGCGTGACGAGCAGGTCGTCGATGGGGACGCGGAGGAACGCGGGGAGGGACGTCGGCCAGGTGCCCGAAGCCACGGCAAAGGGCTTGGCGCGGGCGAGGCCGGTGAGGTCGCGGACCATCGCGGTGCGCATCCCGGTGGGTGAGGCGTTCAGGTCGGCCCCGAGAACAACCGGCAGGCCCGGCGCCCTGAGGTCTTGCGCGATGAGCGGCGCCTCGGTGCGGAGCCGCTCGTTGCCCACGGCCCACCGCGCCGGGGTGCGCGGGGACTCGAGCAGGGTGACGCCGACGACGAAAGGCGAGCCCGGGTGCTCGACGATCTGCGCGCGCCGGTAGAGGTACTCGAATCGCAGCTCGCGCCAGCGGTCGTCACGCTGCTCGAGCCGCTCGAGGGGCCAGACGCTCATGACGCCGCGGGTCCACTGGTTGTCGTGCTCGGGGAACTCGCGGTGGGGGTAGCGTGCGGTGATCGTCTCGTCGGCCTCGATGGCGACGGCGAGCTCGTAGTCGATCTCGTTGAGGAGGACGACATCCGCCTCGACGGCACGGAGCACGGAGAGCGTTTTGTCGTGCTCGCTCGTCTCGGCGTAGGCGTTGAAGACGAGGACGAGGGCGTCCGTCTCGACGCCCCGCTCGGCGCGGGGGACGGAGACGACCCGCACGGTGAGCGTGAGAACGACGAGCAGCGCGAGGACCGCGGGGACGGGCCGCCGGCAGGCGATCGCGATCACGAACGAGACGAGGGCGAGCAGCGCGACGGGCCAGGCAAAGTTCGCGGCCATGTCCGCGAGCCAGAGGCGGCTCGAGAGGAAGGTGAGCAGGGTGACGGCGAAAAAGGGCGCGACGGCGGCCCACGCGAGGGCGGTGGCGAGGGGGGAGCGGCGTCGGTCCTTCTTGAACTTCAGTTGGAAGCCGGTTCGTCGTCCCATGGGAAAACTCTATCATGCCGCTCCTCGGAATGGCCGAGAGAACGGGCAACGGAGGCCGTCGACGCTTTGGGCATCAAGCAGCTCATCCCGCAGGAAGTTCGCAACACGCTGCGTCGTGCGCCGCGGTTCCTGAAGCCGGCGGGGGCGTACGTGCTGCCGGACTACGTCATCATCGGCGCGCAGAAGTGCGGGACGACGTCGCTCGACCTGAACCTCGCGAAGCACCCGCACGTGCACCTCGCGCTGATGCAGGAGGTGCACTTCTTCGACTACAACTGGCACAAGGGCGAGGGTTGGTACCGGCGGCACTTCCACACGCGCGCGCAGAGCGACGCGCATAAAGAATCGACGGGGCAGCCGTTCTGGACGGGCGAGTCGAGCCCGTACTACATCTACCACCCGTGCTGCCCGGCGCGGGTGAAAGAGGTGTGCCCGGACGCGAAGCTGATCGCGCTGCTGCGCAACCCGGCGGACCGGGCGTACTCGCACTACCACCACGAGCGCCGCTACGGCTGGGACGACCGCCCGCTCGAAGACGCGTTCGACTGGGACCGCGAGCGGGAGATGCTCGAGCGCGAGGTCCCGAAGATCGAGGCGGACCCGAAATACTTCAGCTGGGCGCACCGGCACGAGAGCTACCTCTCGCGCGGGATGTACGCCGAGCAGCTCGAGCGGTGGTACGAGCACTTCCCGCGCGAGCAGATCCTGTGCGTGCAGAGCGAGGCGTTCTACGCGGACATGCGCGGGGCGATGCGGCGGATCTTCTCGTTCCTGGGGATCCCGGATCACGACGTGGTGGACGCGAGCACGTACAACGCGAACACGTACTCGAAGATCGAGAACGAGGTGCGCGAGAAACTGCGCGCGTTCTACGAGCCGCATAACGAGAAGCTCTTCGCGCTGATCGGCGAGCGGTACGACTGGTGAGTGAAGCGCCGTTCACGGGGGCGACGGGGCGGGGCGCGGGGGATGAGGCGTGGGTGCCCGGGCTGCGTCGTTTGCCCAGCTTGACGGTGGGCGTCGCGCGGCCGGCGCAAAAAGCAGGGCGCCATCGATCAAACGGCGCCCCGCTGGAGGAGAGAGAGATCCGAAGATTATTTTACCCATCTATCGCACGATTGTGGCGAAAAACTTAAATGATGGGCCGATAAGTCCGCAAAAAAACGGCATTCCTGCTTCGCAACGGCTGTTTTTCGGGGGTGCGGACGTTCGGGCGGACGTGCGGCGGATACGCACAAAAACGCGCGATTTCCGAATGATCTTCTGTCAAATCACTATTCCGACGCTGAGTATTCAGATTTCGTGACGAATTCGACGGTTCATGTGTGGAACTTTTTTCCGGGTTTTCGACCGCGTTAATCTGGGCGCTTTTTTGCGGTCTCTGCCCCTCTTTCGGGGCAATTCGGGGGGTACCGTCCGCCTCAGGGATCGGGGATCGGCTCGATCAGATCTGATGGCGAGGGCTCGACGAGCCGCTCGGAAGCGGGCGCCGGGAGGGGCTCGTCTCTCGTGAGGTCCCCGTAGACAAACGACGAGAGGGCGACACAGACGATGCCGCAGATGATCGTCAGCGGGCCGCCGAAGCGGGTGTAATCGAGCCACTTGTACCCGCCGGGCCCCATGACGATGAGGTTGGTCTGGTAGCCGATGGGGGTGGAGAACTCGGCGCTGGCCGCGACGGCGATGCAGACCGCGATGGGGACGAACTCCATGTTCGCGGCGCTGGCGGTGGCGTAGGCGATGGGGAACATGAGCACCGCGGCGGCGTTGTTCGTGATGAACATGGTGAAGACGACGGTGACGAGGTAGATGGACCCGAGGATGGCGACGGGCCCGTAGTTGCCGGCGATGCCCAGGATGGCGTCGGCGACGGTGGAGGCGAGGCCGGTGGACTGCATGGCGTGGCCGATTCCGAACGCGGCGCCGATGACGAGCAGGACGGACCAGTCGACCGCCTCGCGCGCCTGCGGGCCGGTGCAGCAGCGGAGGAGGATGGTGAGCGTCGCGGCGGCCATCGCGGCGGCGACGGGCGGGATGAACCCGGTGCTCAGCGCGACGACGAGGCCGAGGAGGATGACGATGGCGAGCCAGGCGCGCTCGTGGCGGTGCGTCGCCCAGCCCTCGAGCTCGGAGACGAGGTGGAAGTCGTTCGAGTGGCGGTGGCGCTGCGCGAAACCCGGGCCGGCTTCGAGGAGGAGGGTGTCGCCGGGCAGGAGCTTGATGTCCCCCACTTTCCCCTGCAGGCGGTGGCCCTGGCGGTGCACCGCGACGACGACGGCGCCGTACTGCGAGCGGACGCCCGCCTCGCGGATGGTCTGGCCGATGAGGGGCGAGGTGTTGGAGACGACGGCCTCGACCGTGCGCAGGGAGGGTCGGTACTCGGTGTGCTCGGAATCGGAGGTGACGGGCGTGAGCCCGCGGATCTTCTGGACGTCCATGACGGAATCGAGGACGCCGACAAAGACGAGGACGTCGCGCGGGCCGATGATCTCGTCGGGCCTCACGGCGATGACGGTGGTCTCGAGGCGGTCGATGCGCGAGAGGTAGAGGCCCGGGAGTGAGCGGAGGCCGGCCTGCTCGATGGTCTTGCCGATGATGGGCGCGTCGGGCTCGACGCGCATGGCGGTCATGTACTGGCGTGCGTTTTCCTCGGGGGTGTTGTCCTCCGGCTCGTCGGGCAGGAGCTTGCGCCCGAAGAGCAGGATGTACAGCGCGCCGACGATGGCGATCGGCACGCCGACGAGGCCGATGGTGAACATGCCGAACTCGGCGAGGACGTCCGAGCCGAGCAGGTCGTTCTGGTCGAGGATGAGGCCGGCGACGATGAGCGTGGTCGACGTGCCGATGAGCGTGCAGAGCCCGCCCAGGATCGCGGCGAACGAGAGCGGCATGTAGAGCTTGGACGCGGGGAGCTTGCAGCGCTTGGCCGTCGCGTCGATGACCGGGAGGAAGCTGGCGACGATGGGCGTGTTGTTCGCGAAGGCGGAGAGGAACGCGACCGGGAGCACGAGGCGGAGCTGCGCCTCGCGGACGGACTTGGGCCGGCCCAGCAGCTTCGCGGTGAGGATATTGATCGCGCCGGTCTCCTTCAGGCCCGCGGCCATGATGTAGAGCAGGCCGACGGTGATGAGCCCCTGGTTTGAGTAGCCGGAGATCGCGTCCTGAGCGTCGAGGATGCCCGTGACGACGAGCGCGGTGAGCGAGCCGAGCATGACGAGATCGACCGCGATCCGCGAGGAGGCGAGCGCGGCGAGCATCACGATCAGCAGACCGGCGAGGAACCAGGCGTCGAGGTCCATGGAGGCCAACATCGGCCGTATTGTCTCAGGAAGTGAAGGGGGATGCTGGGGAAGCGGGCAGTCGGCAATCGGCAGGTCGGCAGGTCGGCAGTCGGGACGTTGGCCGCGTCTGGCGGCGCATGAAACAGGCCGCTCGGCTCGTGGGGCCGGGCGGCCTGCTCGCTCAGGATCCGTGCCGGCGGGTCAGCGGGCGGTCCGACTGGCCATCCGCTCCTTCATGCGCTTGGAGATCTCGTCCGCCTCGGCGCGGGTGAGCTCGCCGCGCTCGACCGCGGAGTCGACGCGGCGCTTGATCGCCTCCCGGTTGGCGCGGGCCGCCTCGAGGTCGCCCATGTGCGTCTCGATCGCGGCCAGGCGCTCACGAAGGGTGCGGACCGCTTCCCATGCTTCCGCGTCGCGCGTGCCGCTCTCGGCCAGTTTGGATTCGAGCGCGCGGAGCTTTGTCTCGAGCACGAGGCGTTCCTGATCAAGGTCCACCGCCGCGACTTCGTGCGCGTTCAGCGTGCGCCGGGCTTCGGCTCCGGTGAACTCGCCCATCGCCTTCTCGTGGATGGCGCGGAGCTTGCGCTCGGCCTCGTCCCGGGTGAGCTCGCCGGCGTGGACGGCGTCGCGGATGGCCTTGGCTTCGTCCGCGACCCGGGTCGACACGCCGATGCCGCGTCGGAGCTCGGCGAGTTTGTCGCGCATCTGTTGTTCGGTGAGATCACCGGCGTCGACCATCGCGCGGAGTTTGTTTTCCGCGTCGTGGTACTTCACGCGGAGCTCGATGCCGCGGAGCGTTTCGTGGAGCTGGTCCTCACCCTCTTCGGGCGTGATCTCGCCGGCCAGGACGGCCTCGTGGATCTTCGTTTTGACGTCGACGATGTGGGCGTGGATGTGCTCGCGCATCACGCGTCGCTCGCGCACGACGCGGAGTCGCTCCTCGGCCTGCTCGGGCGTGATGTCGCCGCGCTCGACGAGCGCGTGCAGCTCGACGCTGACGGCGCGCTCGTGGATCTCTTCCTTGCTCAGGCCGAGGACCTGGGAGTCGAACATCATGCGGGACCGGGCCTCGAGCCCGCGGGCCATCTCGGCACGCTTCTCGTCGGCCTCTTCGGGGGAGATGCGGCCGTCGGCGAGCGCGGCGTCGATCTCGGCGTTCATGCGGTCGAGCTCGGCCCTGATCTTCTGCATGTGCTCGGAGCCGGGCAGCACGACCGTCTCGTAGATCGCGCGGGCGTCGTCGGGGGCCATCGCGCCCGTCTCGACGGCGTCGCGGAGGATCTCGACGGTCGGATCGGCGGTCGCGCCGTCGTGCATCGCGTGGGCGATGCCGGCGAACGAGACCGCGGCCCCCGCGGCGAGCGCGGCGGCGGTCCGCCAGGCGACGCCGGCGCGACGCGACGGCTCGTGGGTCCCGAGGATGCGGTGGATGCGTGTCATGAGGATGCCTCCGTTGGCCGACAGGGCGACCGGGGTGTGCGTGTGCCGGAGCGACTCGAGCTGGGCGAGCGCGCCGGCGAGAACGTGCGGGCCGGGGACGGCGCGGAGGGCGTCGTCGTCGCAGCAGAGCTCGCGCTCCACGCGGACACGCCCCGAGAGCCACCAGACCACGGGGTGAAAGAACAGGACGGATTCGACGAAGATCTGTGCCGCGTTGATCCAGTGATCGCGGCGGGCGATGTGCGCGAGCTCGTGCGCCAGCACCGCGTGGAGCTGGTCCGGCGTGAGGGTGGTGAAGCACGACGCGGGCACGAGGACGACGGGGCGGAGCCAGCCGACGACCATCGGCGCCTCCGCGAGCGTGCTGCGGAGGAGCCGCACGCCCGGGCGGAGGCGCATGCGCTGGCAGAGCGATTCGAAGGGCTCGGTGTAGCGGGCTCCGGGTGTGTCGACGCCGACGAGCCGGAGCCGCGTCGCGGCGAGCCACTGGAAGGCGAATCGTGTGGCGAAGCACACGACGCCGCCGGCCCAGACCCAGGCGACAACGCCGAGCGCCGCCGGCGGGAGCACGCCCGTCGCCGTCGCCTCGGAGAGCGGGGCGGCGGGCGAGACGAGCGCCCGCGTGGCGCGGAGCGCCGCGTCGAGCTCGCTCAGGAACGTGCCCGCGAACCAGACGAAGCACGCGCCGAGCGCCGCGCAGGAGAGCGCGTAGCGCCACGCGGGCGCCGACCTGGCGAGGCACGCGAGCGCGGCGAACGCAACGAGCCCGATGGCGGCGCCCTGCCAGAGGAAGTGCACGATGGCGATGCCCAGCGCCCCGAGGATCGCGTCGAACGTGGTGGTGAGCTCGATCACGCCTTGCCCTCCCGCTCGAGTTTCTCGAGCAGCGCGCGGATCTCCGCGAGCTCCTCGGGGGACGACTTCTTCAGCGCGAGCGCCTGCAGCACGAGGTTGCCGGGCGAGCCGGCGAACGCGCGGTCGAGCAGGTCGCGCACGAGCTGCTTCTGCGTCTGCTTGCGCGGCTTCGCGGGGGTGTAGACCTGCGGGCGGACCGACGTGTCGCGCTCGAGCAGGCCCTTGTCCGTCATGATCTGCATCATTTTGAGGACGGTGGTGTAGCCGGTCTCCGACCGGGCGCTCAGGGTGTCGAACACCTCGCGGACGGTCGCGGAGCCGTGCTCCCAGATGACGCCCAGGATCTCGAGCTCGGCGTCGGTAGGTCGTCGGGTGTCGGTCGGCTTGGGCATGGGCGGTCCTCTTGACGAGAGTTTTCGTCAATCATGCACGAGAACTTTCGTCAAAGCAAGGGGGTTGACGAGAAATTTCGTCAAATGGGGCATCAGGGGTCAGGCACCGGGCATCAGGGGATGTGGAGCGCGGCTTCGCCGCGGTTGAGGCTGGCCCCTCATCCGGCCGACTCCGTCGGCCACCTTCTCCCGCGCCCCCGGAAAGGGGAGAAGGTGCTGGGCGTCGGGACTCGCCGTGTACCCCGCTCGCTGACGCTCGGGGTTGCTACATCTCCCGGTCCGCTCGCTGCCGCTCGCGGCTTCTGTCTTCACCGTCTCACCCATCACCGTCTCACCGTTTCACCGTTTCATGCGCACAGGGCAGCCCCTCCCTGACGGTCGGGGTTGGTACACTCGCCTTCCCACTCTTTCCCCGGAGGAATCTGCGATGGCCAGTGAATCGGATCGTCTCAACGCGGCGGTGCTCGCGGTGAAGCGGGCCTCGAAGGTCTGCCGCGACGTGCAGTCGCGGCTCGACGACGTCCGCGCGATCGCGAAGGACGACAAGAGCCCCGTGACCGTCGCGGACTTCGCCTCGCAGGCGGTCGTCGCGCACACGCTCATGGAGACGCTCGGCGCCTGCACCATGGTGGGCGAGGAAGACGCGGCGGAGCTCCGCTCGCAGATCGCCGCCGGCAACCCCGCCATCGCGGAGGCGACGCTCCAGGCGGTGCGGATCGTGTGGCCCGGCGCGACGATGGACGCGATGCTCGACGCCATCGACCTCGGCAACGCCGAGCCGACGCGCGATTCGCTCAAGGGCTTCTGGACGCTCGACCCGATCGACGGGACGAAGGGCTTCCTCCGCGGGCAGCAGTACGCCGTGAGCCTGGCGTGGATCGAGGACGGGACGCCCATCGTCGGCGCGCTCGGCTGCCCGAACCTCTCCAAGGACTTCAACCGCGAGTTCGACGACCCGGACCCGAAGGGCACCGTCTACATGGCGATCGCCGGCGACGGCCTCGCGGAGACCTCGTGCGACGAGGCGGACACCGACCGCCTGACCATCACGCGCCTCCCCCACTCCGAGGACGAGCCCGTCCGCACGTGCGAGAGCGTCGAATCGGCGCACTCCAAGCACGACGACACGGCCCGCATCCTGGAGCACCTCGGCGGCGCGGGCGACCCCGCGCGGCTCGACAGCCAGTGCAAGTACGCCGTGGTGGCGCGCGGGCAGGCGGACGCCTACCTCCGCCTCCCGACGCGGAAGGACTACGTCGAGCGCATCTGGGACCACGCGGCCGGCTCGCTCATCGCGATCGAAGCGAAGTGCGCCGTGAGCGACATCTACGGCAACTCGCTCGACTTCGGGTGCGGCAAGGGCCTCGAGAAGAACAAGGGCATCGTGGTGGCGCCGCACGCGCTGCACGGGCGGATCATCGGGGCGATCAAGGAGCTCGGGATCGGGGGCTGACCCGCACCTCGACCCCCTGAGCCCCGATTCCCTCACAATGTGAGGATCGCGCTGCAAGAATCCGAACGCGAATCTCCAGTAGGTGTGAACACGCTCACACCTCACTCAGAGACTGGAGACCACGCCATGACTTCCATGACCTCGCTGTCCGTCCGCGCCGGCTTCGCCGCGCTGCTCCTCGCCGCACCCGCCTCCGCCCAATCGCTCCTCAACGGTTCGCTCGAAGGGCCCGTCGCCGTCGGTTCTGCCCCGCCGGACTGGTTCGAGTGGCAGAAGACGCCCGATACCTGCGACGCGGCCGGGCCCTTCAACAACACCGGCACGCCCTGGGTGCTCTCGCCCGACGGCGGCACGTTCGTCCGGGGCGGCGGGAGCGACTTCGCGAACTCCGAGGCGATCGGCCAGGTCGTCACCGGCTTCTCCACGGGCGACACCTACGCCGTGAACTTCTTTCAGACCAACCTCGGGTTCCAGCACCCCACATCCGGCGACTGGCTCGGCGAGGACGGGTTCTGGGAGCTCGTGATCGACGGCGCGGTCGTCGGCGCGTCCGACGTCCTCTCCCGCCCCGCGACGCCGAGCGACTCGATCGTGTGGAGCGTCGACACGCTCAGCTTCACGGCCACGTCGGCCTCGCACGAGATCGCGTTGGTCTCTCGCTCGACGTTCCCGGGCGGCCTGGCCGCGTACATGGGGATCGACGGGGTCCGCCTCTCGCTCGTGCCCACGCCCGGTTCGGCCGCGCTGATGGCGCTGGGTGGGGTGGCGGCGATCCGTCGCCGGCGGGCCTGAACGTCCGAAAACACGCTTTCTCTGACTCAAAGGGACCACTCTCCTCCTCTTCCACCCGAGCCGTCGCCCGCCCCCTTGCCCGGGGCGAGCGACGGCTCTACGCTTGGCTCCCCCCGCCCCCCGGAAGTGTCCCCGGAGTATGCCCGCGGACCCCGGGAGCGAGGCTGTCATTCACATCGAGGCCCTTTTTCAAGAGAGAGACGACCCGTCATGAGCATCAAGTCCACGAACATCCACTGGCACGAAGGCAACCTCACCCGCGACGAGCGCTGGAAGGCCCTGGGCGTCAAGGGCTGCACGCTCTGGTTCACGGGTCTGTCCGCGTCCGGCAAGTCCACCATCGCCTCGGCGCTCGAGCAGGTCCTCGTCAACGAGGGCACGCACAGCTACCGCCTCGACGGCGACAACATCCGCTTCGGCCTCAACTCCAACCTCGGCTTCTCCGCCGAGGACCGCGCCGAGAACATCCGCCGCATCGGCGAGGTGTGCAAGCTCTTCTGCGACAACGGCTCGGTCACGATCGCGTCGTTCATCTCGCCCTACACCGCGGACCGCGACAACGTGCGCAAGATCCACGAGGACGCGGGCCTCGCGTTCTTCGAGGTCTTCGCGGACACGCCCATCGAGGTGTGCGAGGAGCGCGACCCCAAGGGCCTGTACAAGAAGGCCCGCGCCGGCGAGATCAAGGGCTTCACCGGGATCGACGACCCCTACGAGGCCCCCGAGAAGGCCGAGCTGCACCTCAAGCCCGCCGAGCACGAGCTCGACGAGTGCGTCAAGCAGTGCCTGGAGTTCCTCGAGGCCAAGGGCTTCCTGACGGCCAAGGCCGGGGCGTAAACCCCGCTCGAACGCACCGATCGCACGGAGCCCCTCATATCGAGGGGCTTTTTTGTGCGCCGGCCGCGGGATCTCCGGGCAATCCGCGGGAAAACCCTTGAATTCTCCACACCGTTGGGGATATTCGGGGAATCAGGGTCGCACGCACAGGCGGCCCGAAGCACACGGAGAAGAGATCATGCCCAACACTGCCAGGTCAGCCGTTGTCGGCGTCGCGTTCGCGGCGTCGACGCTCACCCCCGTCGCGAACGCCGCCGAGCTCGTCGGCATCTCGTTCCCCGAGACGGTGACGCTCAGCGTCTCGACCGCGGCGAACGGCCCGCGGTCGGTCGTCGCGCCCTTCGATTTCGGCGGCATCGGGAACATCGTGAACCCGACCGTCGCCGGGCCGGGGAGCATCGCGAACGCCAACGACTTCACGCTGCACCAGACCGTCGGCGTCGTGAACGTGACGGACGTCGTCGTCACGTACGAGTTCGACATGCCGGTGCTGATCGACGCGTTCGACATCGTGCAGCACCACAACGGCGTGCGCACGCTCGAGCTGCTCGTCGGCGATTCGCTCGGCAGCCTCGTCTCCGCCGGGCAGGTGTCCGTGCCGGAGAACGCGCTGGAGTACGCGGTGAACCGCTTCGACTTCGACGCGATGGCGTCCGGCCGGTTCGTGCAGCTCCGCCTGATCGAGCCGGAGCTCGACGGCCAGGGCGGCTGGGCGCTGTACCGGGCGTACCCGGTGCTGGTGCCGTCGCCGGGTGTCGCGTGTGTGTTCGCGGTTGGCGGGTTGGCGACGGTGCGGAGGCGTCGCGTATAGGGCACGCCTCAATTTCGAAAAAAAAAAAACAGAAGCCGCGAGCGGGAGCGAGCGGGCAAGGGAGTGTACGCACTGGCAATTCTTATACTCCAGTAATGTACAATCAGCCGCTCGCCTACTTCCTAACGTTCACGACGTATGGCACGTGGCTCCCCGGCGACGAACGTGGCTTCATGGAAGCCGGCACGAGCGACCGCCCGTCGCAGCATCGTGTTTCCCAACCGAAGCTTCTCGAACACGCGACGAAAGCGCTCGCCGGAGCGCCTCGCCTGCTGAACGAGAAACAACGTGTTTTTGTTGATGATGCGATTCGGGAAGCATGCGTGTATCGCGAATGGCCCGTTCACGCCCTCAACGTTCGGAGCAATCACGTGCATCTCGTGGTTTCAAGCCGGGAAACCCCCGAAGCCACAATGCGAAAAATCAAAGCGAGGGTGACCAAAGCGATGCGAGAGGCCCGATTCCTTGGCTCGGCGGAGAAACTCTGGACACGACATGGGAGCACCGTGTACCTGTTCAACCAGCAGCAATTTGAGCACGCGGTGCGGTACACGCTTGAAGCACAAGAAGGTGCACGGTTTGAGATCCCCGAGTGACCCTGCACAGGGCACCGGCCGTGCCCGCTCGCTCCCGCTCGCGGCTTCTGTCATGACTCGCGGCTGCTATCCCCTCAGTTGTGCGACACCCGCACGTCCACCCCGAACCGCTCCAGGCGGTAGTTCGTCGAGCCGTCGCCGTTCGTCGAGCGGGTGATCGTGCCGAGCTGTTCGGGCAGCCACTCGGGCGTGAAATCCTCGGCGCAGCCGAGTTCCTTGTCCTCGTCCGCGATGACGCGTTCGCCGTCCGCGGCGGTCACGAAGGGCCACTCGGCCTTGGGCGTCGCCCAGAGGACGGCGCCGACGGGGGTCTCGCCGGAGTTCATCCAGTTGCGGAGGTTGGCGCGGGCGGCGTCGTCCTCGGCCTGGTTGAGGCCGATGGCGGCGCGGGCCATCGCGAGCTGCTCGAGGTCGTTGTCCGCGCCCGTGAGGCCGAAGACGGTGTAGCCGTCGGCGATGAGGGCGTTGGCGATGGCGACCAGCGTGTGGAACTCCTCGGACGTGCCGCCCTCGGGGTAGTCGCTGATGAGCAGCAGGGGCCGGCCGTCGACGGTGTCGAGGCGCGTCCGCAGGCGGGCGATGGCGGAGTCTTCCTCGCTCGTCCGGATGGTGTAGGTGCGGCCGCTGCTGTTCTTGACGGTGCGGGCCGTGCCGTCGGTGAGCTCGATCGCGCCGGGCGCGACGCGGAGCGTGTCGCCGTCGGAGAAGCGGATGGCGGTGGTGTTCTCGCGGAAGAGCTGCTGCTTCTCGGCCTCGGCGTGGCTCTTGAAGATCGTGAAACCGACGATGCCGCCGCCGGCGAGGACGGCGGTGCCCAGGAAGAACAAAAGAGTCGCGACGACGACGCCGGCGTTGGGCTCGTTGGAGTAGCGGCCCCGCTGCTTCCCGGCGCGGCGGCGCGGGGTGCGCCGCGAGAGGGCGCGCTCGCGGGCGGCCTGGGCCCGGGCGCGGGCGGACTTGAGCTG